AACTAAAATTATGTCAGTAACATATTTGTTCACGGAAAACGTTTTCACAGCGCGGGACTGTGAAGGGTGCGGCAGGCGGTCTTCTCAGTGTACACATGAAATTTTAAGTGCAGTTATATACAATCAGCATAAAGGGCAGTCATTTGCATAGTTTGAGAGAGAAAATTTCATTAAAAGTCGGGGATGTGTTAAGTAGGGATGAAATCAGGAAATGAAATTTATAGCTGGTCGCAGATTGTCCTGCAATGAGAGTCGTCGTTTATCAAAGATCAAACGATCCAGCTGCCTTTTGAATACAGCCATTGTATCAGATGTCACTATTTCACTTCGGAGTGAGTTCCATGGTCGAACAACACGCTGGCTCAAGGAAAACTTCCGATAGTCTAGGCTTGTACGCTACCGCTTGACTTTGTACGAGTGACCGCGCAGGTGACTCGTGGTCAGGAATTCAAAGAAGTCGTCAGTTTTGAGCGAACATTTATGCCCGTGGATAATGCGGAATGTCCATAACAGGTCACACCTCATTCCTCTATAGGATAGGGGGAACAAATTTAACTGGATCAGTTTTTCTGGGTATGACAGAATCCTGAGACCGTCCACCAATTTTGTGGCCCATCGTTGCACCTTACTCTACGGCATCGCTGTCTTTTTTCATCCAGAGCATCCATGATGGCTTTCCGTATTCCAAGTGCGGTCTGACGAACGTGCCGAATATATGTGAGAAGAGTTCTGGAGGAAAGATTTTGAAGGCCCGCCTAATTCAGTGCATGATGCTGGTTGCCTTTTGGACGACTCTTTTGCGGTGCTGAGAGGGCAGCAAGTTTGAGCATGTCCAGACACCTAGGTCTTTGTGCGTGTCCACTTCTTTTAGTGGAAACCCATTTATGGTGTACTGATGCTTTGGGAAGCGCCTTCGACCAGATTCTAGTAGCAGGACTACACGTTTGGATACGATAAACGATAGAAGCCACTTGCTGGACCACGCAGCCAACTTATTAACATCTTCCTGTAGCTTCTGCGTGTCATCAACGCAGCTGATTGTTTTCCAGCTCTTTATATCATCTGCAAACATGATGTCATCGCATTCGAGGTCTGCAGGACAGTCATTTATATAGATGAGGAAGAGGAGAGGACCCAAGACCGAGCCCGACGGAACTCCGCTTTTTCCTGCACCCATTCATCTGCAGTGGTTCCAACGATCACTTTTTGGAGCCTGCATGACAGGAAAGTTTTAATCCACTTAAAAGTGTTGCCATATATTCCACACTCCCAAATCTTCTGTAGGAGTCGTCCATGAGGAACGCTGTCAAACGCCTTCTTAAAGTCAAAGAAGATGACGTCGACTGGACGGTCCTGGTCTATGGCTCTTGTCCACTTTTCCTGAGAGTAAAGACTGCTTGTAATACAGGAGTGACCACGACGAAATCCGTGCTGAGCAGCACATAACAGGTCCCTCTGCTCCAGATACGACATTAAATGTCCTTTAATAAGTCGTTCCATTACCGTGCATAGAATGGAGGTTAAACTAATAGGACGGCAATTTTCGGGCTCCAGCCTGGATCCTCCTTTATAGATTGGAAAAATATGAGCCGTTTTCCATTTCTCCGGCAGTTCTCCTTCCTCCGTGGACTTCCGAAATATGAAGGACACTGGCTCACACAGTACATCAGCTAATTCTCGGAGGACAAGTGGATGAATTCCATCTGGACCAGGTGATTTGGCAGATTTCAGTCGGCGTAGTTCGGTGCTTATCAACATGGGTGAGAAGAAAAGATTGTCGTCCAATGCAGGACAGGAAGGATTTGGTCGTTGGTCTACGTAAGGCATGGCAGGAGGGTTTGTGTCATGAGTGAATACCGACTGAAAGAAATTGGAGAAGGCAGATGCTTTCAAGTGGTCATCTGTCTCAATTACTCCGTTTTGGGATCTTGGCGCTGGAATCGGGTCGCGATTGCTTTGTCCATTACGTATGTAGCTATAGAGGATTTTAGGATGCTTCAGGGAATTTTGTTATATGCCTAGCTCATAGTTGCTTCGAAGTCTATTAGCCTCGCGTTTACACACATTCAACTGTCGCTTGTATTCCTTCAGCTGTTCAGAACTCTCTATTTGTCGATTGCATCTCCACACTTTTTTTCTCCTCTTAAACGCGGTTTGCAGTTCCCGGTTTATCCACGTCGGACAGTTGCTTGTTTTCTTTCGTCTCAGTGGACAGTTTAGATTAACGATTCTTTTGACCAGTGAGCTGAACGTAATCCAGTACTCATTAACTGTTCCCTTCAGTGTGGTTGTCCACGGTATTGCTGAGACTTGCGTTCGCATGCTAGAAAAATCCCCCTTCCAGATATTTGTTTGTAATTGTTCAGGTGAATTAGGTTGGGAAAACATGGAATGCTCGAAGAGCACCACAATATCATCACTAGAACCAATTGGCGAGAGATCTTGTATATCCAGCACACTCTCCTCATCTCGACTGAGCACCAGGTCGAGGCAAGTTGAACGTTGCCATTCCGTAACACGTGTTCCGAGAGTTACATTCTGGAAAAGTAGTTTTTCTGCTGCCAATTCAAGCAAATTTTGTGTCCGAATGTGTTCGATGGACCCGAAACCGTCCAAGCTTGCTGGTCGATATTGGGGGCGTTAAAGTCCCCGACAATAAGGACGTCTCTGTTCGAGCAGGTCTTGTTCAGTTACCTTAGGAGAAGGGTATCGTGTTCGGAAATCTGATTTGGGGGACGATATGCAACTGAAAACGCCAGCGGCCTAGCATATTTAATGGAGATAGTTAAAGACAAGAATCCTACTTCCGCTGTTGTTGTTAGATTATGCTCAGGGACCGCGGCTAGGTTGTAGCTAACATAGACAACGACCCCTCCTCCTCGGCTTTTCCTGTCTCTTCTGAACAGTTGGCAGCCTCTGAGGAATAACTCGTGATCTCCAATAGCTTCTGAAAGCCATGTTTCTGTCAGGGCGATGATATCTAGCGTGTGCTCGTCGATCAGAGTCCTGAGTTCATCCATCTTGTTAAACAGGCTCTGCACATTCGAATACAGCACCTTTAATGTCCGTCTTCTCGGGGGAAATGGCCCTGATTACAAAGGGGGTTAGCCACAGGAACGATCGTTTGATCTGAATTATCTTGCCTCCCTTTATTTTCAACCCCTTCTCCTCCTCTTCTCTCCTTCAGTTCTGTCCAGAGCTCCCTCATCTTGTGTCTTTCTGTGGGTTCGTTATCCGGCTGAAAAAACACTTCCTTATGCGAATGACGAAGAGCCATCCTCCCTTCTAGGAGATGAGAGGCCTGGGCTTCATTTGCAAGAATGATTTTAAGAGGTCTTGGTAATGCACGCGACGCATCTGCGTTTCCTAGACGGAAAGCTTTGTGCACGGTAACACATTCTCCGTCCTGAAGGACGGCATTTGAATATGTTTGAAAGAGGTTGAGATCGTGTTCGATTCTTTCTTTTGCAGTCGAAAAAATGGACTCAGGAGCTCTCTTTATTACGATGTTTCGTTTTCGGTAGAGATGCCTGTTTGGAAGAGAGCACCTGCGTTTATTTTTACACGCACGTTCAGCATTTCGCCAATTTCCGTTGTCATCATCGTTTGACTCAGAGACAGCTGTGATCGCGTAGCTACCACAGGGGGCGCTTCTGCGATTCCTGAGATCCCTCTCTGTCGTTTTTTCTTGCAGAAAAGGTCGGTTCTCAGTTGTGATTTCTTCTTTTTCGGGCAGTCTTCTTACTTGGCGGCTGATCCAGTTAATGGGACTGTGATTGAATATGCTCTCTTTGTTTTCTGAGGGTCTGACATTACCGAATTTCTCATTACGGGTGAATGGCATGGAAGTTTCGTCAACTTCTCCATCTCTATTTTTAGGTCTTTTATCTCAGTCTCCATCTCCAAGACTTTCTGCAGAAGTCTGAAACATGCCGCATGTGTTTTATGTTCGTTGTTGTAGTTGACATCCATTAAGGTTACTAAACTCCTGGCCCGTTTGGCCGAGGATTTGATAATGGGGAAGCCGACGTTACATTCATTGAGAAAATGGGCATTGTTTATTACATCATTATTTTTAGCCCGTCTGCTGCGCGTCTGTAGTCCATAGGTAACGACGTCGCTCTCGTCATCTCCTTGGCTGTGTTCGAATCTCACTTGGGGTGCGCTTTTTGAGCAACATCCCGAAGCCATTTGTTCGACTACCATTTTCAAGTATATAAACGGGAAATGTTTTTAAGGATGTTCGAGGAGATATTTAACCAGACGAACGTTATGAAGCAGGTAGTAAACGATATGAAGCAAGTAACAAGCGACTCAGCCGTTCTTGTAACGGGGGTTTCCGCGGGGCTATTGGCAAAGAAATGGTCCGAAAGAGAATGGTTGCCTCAGAGAAAGTCCTGTCAAACTTCCGTGTGCATCGCGTAATTGTTGGTTACGATCCATTTTCTTAATCCAAATGGGCCCTCAGAGCGTCCAGTAGGCAGAAACCTCAGAAAATGCAAATCCATCGGAGGTCGAAAATTTCAAACCGAACGGCGTGTCTCTCACTTGCGTGAGAGGGCCGTGGAAGGTGCTCTATCAGCCCATCCCCAGCCCACCA